CTTTTAGGAAGGAAGGAAGGAGGGAGGGAGGGAGGGAGGGAGGGAGGGAAGGAGGGAAGGAGGGAAGGAGGGAAGGAGGGAAGGAGGGAAGGAGGGAAGGAAGGAAGTTGTCAGCTGGCCTCATGATCAGGAGAGTTCAAACCAGTATTGAGCTCAAGAAAATCAACAGCGGCTTGACGAGTTAGAATTGGGCGCGCCTTGCAGACACTCTGTAGCGGAAGCCCGCGCGTTCAAAGCCAATGCTACACGAATGCTGATTTCAGGGGGGAAACAAATGTGACAGCACTCTTAACATTTTTCCCCTTCCTCTGGCATGAACAGCTTAATGGTTGGCTCCCCCTCTGCTGGGGCGGATGAGAAAGGTGGGGTGCGGGCTCCAGGTGCTCAGGGTGACCGCTGTCATTGTCACTTCCAGCTCACAGCATGTCGCGAGCATTAAGTTCTTGTTCGGGTGACCCGTTGCCTCCAGCAGCGAGGCCGGCTCCCCAACGGGTATCCGTGAGCTACATGCACGGACAGAAAAGCACATTAATCGACGTGCAAGAATGTAGCGGACGTTTATTGATAAAAGACTGCCACTTTCGCTCCCAGACTCAGCAATTATTTATTTCCGAGCCTCTGCATAATCCTGTCCTATTTTACAGCCGGCTCAGCCACCCGGGCATTTTCTTTCAAAAGAAACTGGACAACCGCCCCTGTCCTTTGAGCGTCCAGGGCCGTTTTTAAAGAACTGTGCGGATAAAAAAAAATCAAGGTTTTTGAAAAATACATTCCAAAATATCAAACTGCTCTTATTTCCCCCACATCATATTATGTTCTTGGATGTGCACGCTATACTCGATCGGCAGGCGTTTTAGGAATGTAGAGTTTAGTTGGGGCAAGAAAGGAAATTATTCTGAACCTCAAAGGCTGTAGAGTCTAAAGATGCCTGTTCAGCATGTTGCAAAACAAAGACTTCAGTGTATCGACGGACAGCTCTAGAAAGGTTTCAAGATAATCTTTAACTGCTTCTAGAATTGAACACCATTTTAAAGAACAGTATAGGATCTGAGAACAGAATTAACTAGGTTTCACCTTAATGGATGGCGTGAGATAAACAGCTAAAAATGTGTTTCTATAAAAATGTATCTTTATTTTGGTTGCATTTGTTTACACGACTAACATGCGTACTTTGTTATTATAAAAAAAACCCTCAAATACTCTTAGAATTATATAATGTAAAAAATAAAAGTTCTCTCAAATGCTCTCCTTCCTAAGAGTTTTTTTAGGTAGTTATCTCCCTTCCTCAAAAATACTCATTAATTTGGTAAACATTCTATAAAAATCTTTATATATTATATGTGTGTATATATATACACACACAAACATATATACACACAAATGGAATACATATAGTTTAATGTATGACACATATGTATAATATGTATATATAATACATAATGCATAATACACATGCATAATAATACATGTAGTTTAATGGCTTGTGTGTTTTTGTGTTTTTTTTTTTGAGACAGATCTCACTGTTGCCCAGGCAGCAGGAGTGCCGTGCGCTCACTCCGGGCTCACAGCAACCCCAACTCCTGGGCTCAAGCGATCCTCCTCCTCAGCCTCCCAGTAGCTGGGACTCAGCATGCCCACCAAATGCCCCTAATTTTTCTATATATATAGTAATATGCCAATAATTCTTCTATTTATAGACGAGACGGGGTCCCGCCTCTTTGTTGAGTGAGCTGCCTCCAACCCACGACCTTAGCAACCTCCTAAAGCCTTCCCTGCCAGAGTGCTGGGACCAACAGGCCTTAAAGCCACCACGCCCCCGAGCCTGTGGCTCGATTTTTTACTTAAATACTTTTAACTCCCAGTAAAATTTCTTTTTTTTTTTGTGAGACAAGAGCCCCTTGTTGCCCGGCTAAGAGTCAGTGCCGTGCCGTCAGCCCTCCTCACAGCAACCTCCCATACCTGTCTCAAGCATTCCTCCTGCCCTCAGCCTCCCCGAGTAGCTGGACTACAGCATGCCCACCTGAATGCCCGCAATTTTTTTTAATAATTATGTATCCAGTTGGCCCAATTAATTTCTTCATTTTATAGGAGAACGGGTCGCTCTTCCAGTCGGTTAACTCCTGACTGGACAATCCTCCAGCCTCGACCCAGAGACTATGGATTACAGGCGTGAGCCACCACGCCCGGCCTCCAGTAAAAGTTTTTAAGTTGCTGTGTTTAAGTATTTGAGCTGTAAGTATCGTAGTTGGGGCTCCGTCCCCTGCTTCTCCGCTGCTCTGTCTTCTAACCCTGGTGGGCCTCTCTGTTTTAGGAGATCGCCCGGGAGCAGCAAGGAGAAACGCACAAGGGCAACAAGAACACGTTTCAGTTTTTGAAACAGAAGCTCAACGATGAGACAGCTGCCAGCAAGAGAGAGTCACGGGGCAGCGACGGCGTCCGGGAAACGGGTGACAACGGGGATGATGATGGTGGTGGTGAGGATGATGATGATGATGGTGATGAAGAAGATGATGGTGAGGAAGAAGATGATGATGAAGGAGGAGAAGATGACGGTGAAGAAGAAGAAGATGATGAAGGAGGAGAAGATGACGGTGAAGAAGAAGAAGAAGATGATGAAGGAGGAGAAGATGAGGAAGAAGAAGATGATGGAGGAGGAGAGGATGACGGCGAAGAGGGTGATGGAAAGCAAAGGGCAGAGGAGGGTGAAGCGAAGGAGCAAAGCGGGAACTGCGAGAACAGCCGCCGAGACCCGGGGGCGGCCACCGGGGCGTCCAGGCCGCAGAGAGACGGGCCAGGGGGCCGGGAGGGAAAGGTCTCGAAGCTGGACCCCCAGAGGCTGGCCCTGGACGCGGGCTTCCTGCGGGCGGGCGGGGGGCCCGCGGGCGGCCGCGCGGACCTGGACGGGAGCCTGCGGCGCGTGCGGGCCGACGACCCGGGGCTGCGGGAGCTCAACCTCAACAACATGGAGAACGTGCCCAGGCAGGCGCTGCTGGACCTGGTGGGCGCCCTGCGCAGGAACAGGCACGTGCGGGCGCTGAGCCTGGCCAACGTGGGCGCGGACGACGCGGTGGCCTTCGCCGTGGCCCACATGCTGCGGGAGAACCGCAGCCTGGCCTCGCTCAACCTGGAGTCCAACCGCATCGGCGGCCGCGGGCTGGTGGCCGTGGTGCGCTGCCTGCAGTTCAACGAGACGCTCACCGAGCTGCGCTTCCACAACCAGCGGCACCTGCTGGGCCAGCAGGCCGAGGCCGTCCTAAAGGCAGACGTCAGGGGGTCTCAGTGCCAGCTCTGTGCGGCTGGAATGGTGTTATTTTGAATACGCACCTGAACGGCTCAGAATAGCGGATCATGGGGTGAAGAAGGCCCGACCTTGGACTCAGAACTGGGTTTCATGTCACCTCTTCTGCTTCTTAGCTGTCTCTCCTGGACATGTTATTAACTTCTTAGCTTCGGTCTCCTTTTTTTTTTTTGGAGACACAGTCTCACACCGTCACCCGGGCTAGAAGTGCCGTGGCGTCAGCCTCGCTCACAGCAGCAACCTCAAACTCCTGGGCTCAAGCGATCCTCCTGCCTCAGCCTCCCCAGTCTAGCCGGGACTACAGGCATGCATGCGCATTAGCCAATGCCCGGCTAATACGTTTTTCTATATATTTTCAGTTGGCCAATTCGTTTCTTTCTGTTTCTAGTAGAGACCACGGGGGTCTCGCTCTTGCTCAGGCTGGTATCCAACCCCTGAGCTCCAACGATCCTCCCGCCTCGGCCTCCCACAGTGCCGGGATGACAGGCGAGAGCCACCGCGCCCGGCCTTCAGTCTCGTTTTTATAAAACCGGGAGAATAACAGCACCTACCTTGTAGGGTTAAGTTTTTTTTTTTTTTTTTGAGACAGAGTCTAGCTTGTTGCCCAGGCGCTATAGTGAGTGCCGTGGCGTCAGCCTCGCTCACAGCAACCTCACACTCCTGGGCTCAAGCGATCCTCCTGCCTCAGCCTCCCGGAGTAGCTGGGACTACAGGCATGCACCACCACCATGCCCGCGCTAATTTTTTCTGCGTATATTTTAGTTGGCCAATTAATTTTTCTATTTTTGTAAGACGGGGGTCTCGCTCTTGCTCAGGCTGGCTTTCGAACTCTGACCTCGAGCAACCTCCCCGGCCTCGGCCTCCCAGAGTGCTGGGATTACAGGCGTGAGCCACCGCGCCCGGCCAGTTTTAAGATGATGCTATGAGTAGTTAATGCACAGACTCCGGCCTAGAGTAAGTGCTCAATAAAAATGGGAGCCGCTAATGGCATTGTGGAAGACACGCAGGTGTGCCTCCCCCGTAGGTGATGCGTGGTGCCGCCACAGGTGTGCACCTTCGCTCACTAGCCATTGGCAATGCCCACTGGCTTTCCCAAATCCGACGGGAATAGACTGGGTCGCGTGTGTCGTGCTCGTCCGTGGTCCCTCCCTCCTGCCTCGGCTTACCGGTTTAAGGTAGGCCACGCTGCTGCGGCGGATGTCGTTCAGGAGCTGGTCCCGGGGCGTCATCTCCACCAGCGGGGGCGGCCTGTTCCTGGGCACCGCGGAATCA